TATTTCAAATGTAGAAAATCTCAGAACATAAAACATTTACTCTACCAAATGTAATTGTTTCTTGATACAACTTAACTTGTAGATCTATATTTAAGAGAGTAGTACAAAGCAATGTTCAAATACCCAGCTTCTTTTGGTAACTGTTATCATGGTCATAGCTTTAAAAACAACAACAAAAATCTGTTTTTAAAATCAAATTAAAAACGAAAAAAGTAACAATAATCCAGACGTCACTTTTCTCATTTGGGGATATACTCTATACAAATAGAGAAGCTGAGGAACAGAAGCCCCTGTGCCTTCTCTGACTTTTTCCCCCCAGGACCAGGCAAGAACTCCGGAAAGAAAGGGATGTGGCGGGGGGATGTGAAGTGTGCCCTGCTTGGCATGCTTTCACCCCCAGGCCCCATCCTGCAAAGTAAGGTTTAACCAGAGAAGGAAGCCACAGAGAGGCAAAAACATCTTTTCTACCTTTTAAGAATTACTGGTATAATGGCACACTTTCCCAACTTTTAGCCCTGTGTTTTGCCAAATCTCCAAATGTTGCATGGTCAGATCACGTCACTTTGCCTTTGAAGAATGACTTTTGCAGAAATGCACCTTCATATTAGGCCTTGACATAGGTCTCACTCACCCAAGGGACTGCCACAGAGTAATCATTTTCACATTGCTGTAAAACACTCTTCCAACTTTACTGTTCCTTGTGCAAAATCCCATCAGCGCTAGAAAAACTTAATTTCACCTAATAAACACGTATGCTTTCTTCTGTTGAGAGCTACTCAGCCATTTGGTTGCTAATTTTTCCCCCTTTACTACCAACTTCTGTCTTAAGTCATTTCTAGAACCGACACTACCTAGAAATGGGCAAATAATGTACAAATATGTGCCAATATAAAAAATGTTAAGTTAATTCAATTCAGAGAATACCTCAGAGAAGCTTCCTCACCTGCACCAGACTTTGAAAGAAAGTAATTAAGAGGAGGAAACGTATTTTAAAGAGAGGAAATAGCATGCATGTGCTGCTAGCACAGAGACAGGAAATATGTGAAATATGCTTAGGGAAGTTTAAGTTCATTAGGCCGGTCAGTTCTGCTACAGTGCTTGTTTTGAAACAAGCAAATTTGTTCAAATGCAATCAATATATATCAAGGAACAATTGGAGCACGACGCAAATTTTGCATCTGATTTTGCACAATTTCATCAGCAACAAGCCCCAGGTGAAGGCAGGAAACTGCACCCAGCTAAAGTAAGCTGCATAGAAATTCACCAAATGTACACATTTGCACACCTCAAACACCTACCAGCTACCTCAGTTCGCTGAGTATTTTATGAGTTCCACCCATCCACATCTGCAATTATGACTTGACATCCAATCCAGATAACCCTTCTTCCACCACTTGACAATAATTCACAAGCTGCAATCCTTCTGACAATTGCTTCTGAAAGCAAAGTTCAGGACTTTCTGAAGGCAAAGTGCCATATTTCTTATGTACTTCTGCATTTCTTAATCATTTAACAGGTGTAAAACCGTGCTGCCATTTTATTAGGTTCCTATCTTTTCTTTTGTAATGTGCCACTGACAACCTTTTTGAGTGTTTTGCTCCTAACACCCTTTGCACCATAGTTCTATGGTTTTTATTGTGTGATTTCGCATAGTATGGTGGTTTTAGGAATGCCTATGTCACTTCTGGCAGAGCTGACTCTTCCTCTAGTCTAAAGCATGTGGGAGGGAGGACAGCCGGCACCCAGGGACTGCTGCTCATTAGCCATTGTTATCCCACATCCACTTTGTGCTTTATTCCTACCATCCCATTCTTTAACCAAAATCACCCAAGTTAGAGGCTCTCATCACTCAAATATTTAAACACCACATTCTCTGAACTTTCTTGGGTAAATTAGAATAAAAGGGAAAAATTCTCTTTCAACCTAGCAAATATGCCCACTATTTTTCCCTTTATGTCTTCTCTACCAAAAGTTGTTTTACCTTCCTTCACATGGAATTTAAAACCAAGGTTCATTTAATTTTGGCATTTGTTTACTTGACTTTATGTCCTAAATGTGCCAAGGTTTCGTGTCTGATTATAGTTATTCAAGGACACAGACAACATCTGTGTTTGGTCAGATGCTTTTAGTAAGAGATATCAGTACAATATTCAGTTCGAGTGTAACAATTTCAGCAAAGAAGTAAGGGAAGAGTGAAGTAAGAACCCAAGATCAGATGCTCTGACAACACATGAAGCTCAAAAAACCAACTGCACTTACATGCATTGTGCATGTTTCACTTCTAGACAGCATACAAGGTCAAACCGCTGTCAGTTACAATAAGCATCCAAACTTCTGGTCAATTACCTGGTTAATAACAAAAGACAAGGCTATGACATCATTACAGTTATAATTAATTTACACAGATCAGCCTCCTGTTAATCAAATACATCTTTAAAAGCATTTAATTATTTTTCACCTAGAAAGCAACACTTAGCTTTGTTAAATGAAAAGCAACCTGGCTGAATTCAACATGAGAGGCTGTCAGACTGCTTTAAGACATAAAGGACAAAAGGCTTCACAGGGCACACTGTGCAATACAGGAGCTATTGCCATACTCACAGCAAACAGAAGCACAAGATGACGGATAACACAACACATTTGAACAGTTTCCAAACATAAAGAAGTTGTCAGGGAACTTGGGGTAAACAGACAGATTCTGGAAAAAGAAACGTCACAGTGCTTTTTGTCAAAATGATACACAGGGCTAGCAATTATTAACGTTTGCAGTAGAGGTCAGTAATTAAGGTCATGGACTTTGGTAAGAGCTCCACAATACGCCAGCCATGGGACCATAGGAAAGTTATTTAACTACTGGTTCCTCACCTGTACAAGGAGATAATACAGCCATATTCGGTGTTGTGAGGATTAAATGAGATTATATATATAAAATCATAAATTGGGAAATGATACTGTTTTTAATCCATATCAACACATAAAATAAGGCTTAAGATTAAAAATTTTAAATAGCTTTAAAGTGTCTTTATAACTTAGTAACCAATTAGCATTTTTCTGGGCTATGATCCTACATTTTTAAACTGCATCATGTGATTCAATTACACACACATTTTAAAAAAAACAGTATGATGGGGTGTGTGGAAGGCACATGAAAATAGAAACGATTTTTTTTAACTAAGATAAATTTTGTAATAAAATCTCAAATCAGAGTTTTTGTCAACATTATCTTTAAATTACCATTACATTTGAGAATTTAATGAGCCTCCATTTTAGGATTTAAAAAAACTCTATATGTCAGATGGCAAAATTTTTTATTTTTCCCTCCTTTTTAAAGGGTTATAGTCTTAACAGAAATGATTAGATTATCTTTATACGTGAAAAATGGAATACTGGATTTTGTATATAATCTTGACTTTTGCTCCACAGTGAGGTGAATTAGTGCCAACTCCAATTCTGATCCATCACCGCTTATGATTTCCAATATCAATCATAAGCTGGTTCCTTCTCTCACGGGCTACAAGTTTTAGTTTAACGAGGGCTCATTAAAGTTCTCCAACTGACAGCCCTGCAGACGTAGGTCCTTAAACCAGGAGACGTACAGGGAGCAGCAATGCCAGCATCCCACCATCACTCCCTTCAAGAAGATTTAAGTAATTCTATTCTGAGGTTCGCTCCACACCAGATTTCTTTGTTTGTCTACCTAAAGTCAATGAAAAAGTGATAGCCATAACCCCATTTAAACTAACTCATGTAAGAAACGTTAATGAACTGTTTACGTAACTGAAATCCTCCCAACACAAGAACTGGCCAAGAGGGGAGAAGCATGCCAGGCGTCGGAGCTGTGCACGTTCCACAAGCACACAGGATGTCCACTAATTACCAGGTGGTGGGGACGGCTTGGGCTTTGTTTCCTTTCTTTTTCTCTGCCCAGCATTAACACCTCATTCTTTCAGTAACAGGTAAGAGACGCCTCTCACCCCCATTGGATGTGGTCCCGGCGGGGGGACCAGAAATCCAGGATGCCTTTCCTACACTGATTCAAGGGTAACAGTGACCAAGACTGGAATAATAACTCTCTTCCTGGAATCTAACACTTTTGCAGAGACACTAAGACCAACAAATTCTGGATTTGATACTCAGAACATTAACTTAAAGAATTTTCCAGATCTATCAAAGTCTACCCAAGCCTCAAGAGCTCATCTGGCTGCAGTCCTGTGGTTTGGTTTTTCTGTAGATTTTCTGAGCTCATCCATATACTTCCAATAAACCTCTTGTTCTTGAATAAGTTATCTGGATAACTTAGTTAACTTAATTTCTGCTGTTTGTAGTCAAATAACCCTACACAGATACTAAGTAATTTGCCAAGGGCTGGCAGCAGATCCTAGTTTATTTCAAGCATCACCAACTCTCATTTTTCAGAGTACATACAACACTCTAGCTAACAGGAGAACCAAAACATGGAGGGTATACAAACAGCATCTCAAAGGTCTGCCACAGGCTGAACATCTAGAAAGCAAAAAGGTCCCTTATTAATACAAAATTAACATTCCTTGGAAAGAGAAAGAGGAAGCCCTGAATACTTCCATGTGAAGGAACTTCTACTACATGGGCAGCACACACTATTTATTCCTACATCTGTTCAAGCTCAGCATCACAACTGACTCATTAAAATACACATCCTTGAAAATTTCTGGTATCTGTAATATAAAAAACACAGCAAAATTTCTTTAACAGTGTTGCCCAAGGGACTTTCAAGGGAAAAAATTCCAAAATTAGAAGTGGCTGCCAACACACACACACACACACACCCTTATATATTATTTATATAAAACTGAAGTCATTGTAATATGTATCTAAATTTCATTCATACTATCCTGATATTGTGACTTTGGATTAAAAATGCATAAGCAAGTGAACACTGTGGAGAAACAGCTGTTGGTGTAATGACAACATTCCTGGATCTGAAGCTAGATATGGGGTCAAGTCTGGATGCCATCACTTACTAGCACGTGGCCTTGGGCAAATCACATAATCAGTCCTGCTGAGCTTCGGTTTCCTTATCCATGGATGATGATAACTCCACTTACTTCCTGGAGTCATCAGAAGAAGAAATGAAATAGCATATTATGTAAAAGCACACAGCACATCCCCAAAGTTTGTTTTCCATTCTCCCTTCCTCTCCATAAACTAATGAGCCTTTTGTCCCCATGGAACTAGACTTTATTGCTTTATAATTATGATGCTCATGTAACAATGTCCAAGAAACGAGATGGTAAATAATACCAACATGCAAACCTGAATGTACACATTGTTAGTTGGCTACCTGCTAGATTCCAAAGGGCTCTTGCACACTATCTATTGCTTCCCAGAAATTTGATACATTATCTCTTCTGAATACAGCCAGAATTATCCACGGGCTTTGAAATATCACCATCATGATGTTGCAGAGAGCAGCTGGTTGATTGAAAGTGACTCCCCCTCCCCCATGCTCCAGCTGTCACCAGGAAACCCTCCTCAATGTGTGAAAAAGGACAATGTGATATTACTACTATCGCTATTAAAAACAATCTAGCAAATACTTAGCATTTGAAATTGTTTTTCTTATGAAAGCTCACTATTAACTAAAAATTAACTCTTTAAGAAAAACCCTTTACCATATAAATGCAAACCAGCTGCTTTCATACAACAAAATACTAAAGGACAGTAAACACAAGTAATATTATTTCCATTGACTCCTTGTTTCTTTTTCCTTGAGTCATTTGTAATGCTAAACAACAGCCAGTTAAAATATTAAAGTTTTAACCGTGGTAACAGCTGTCACAGCTTAGAGGGATTTAAAAACAAACAAAACTGGGCTTCCCTGGTGGCGCAGTGGTTGAGAATCCGCCTGCCAATACAGGTGACACGGGTTCGTGCCCCGGTCCGGGAAGATCCCACATGCTGCGGAGCGGCTGGGCCCGTGAGCCATGGCCGCTGAGCCTGCGCGTCCGGAGCCTGTGCTCCGCAATGGGAGAGTCCACAACAGAAAGAGGCCCGTGTACCGCAAAAACTTAGATGATTTCTCAAAAAATGTGCATAGATTCCCCCCTATTTTTATATAATATGGGTCGGATTGAAGGCTGGATTTTTTTTTTTAAATAATCTCTCACTTCTCTACATGAGAAACTATACATATGTCTGACATTGCTGATAACCCTGGGAGTTGTCTTCAGGACAAGTTTGTGGATCCCACTCAGGAATTCTCAACACCTGACGTTTTAGGTACAGCTCATCTCCTGAGGATTTCTACCCCACAGATGGTTTCACACCCTGTCACACGGACTCCTTGAAGTGTCACTGCAGGAGGCTCCCAGCAGGCAGGTCCTATGCCCTTCAACCCCTCTTCTCTTAAAACCTCTCAGCTCCTGAGCTTTACAGGTAAGATGCTGCTAAAGAGGGTCCCCTGCTAAAAAATCTGAGGCCCCCTGCTTAGATGACTAGAGCTACAGCATAAAAGGCCATCTATCTTTCTAAGGCATTTCTATCTTTGTAATGGTTTTTAAAAAGAATTTTTACATACACATGCATTTACCTAGTTTTACTTAAATGTATAGATTATTTGTCCCTACCTCCATATTATAATACATTGCCAAGTAAACGAAATTATGACCTAGTATGACACCTTTCAAGTCGTTTCCATGCTCACATATTCATATGCACTATATACAGAAATATGAGATTTTTTGATCATTTTTTAAAATGGAACATAAAACTCTTCACTTTCCAATCATTAAGCATCCATATTGAAAAATAATGATTTCAGAGCTATAATAGCATTTTCTTATTCTTTGGTGCATGTCTTCAGTGAAGTCTCATCTCCTGTAACAAAGTGCCCCCTTCTGTGGCTGACTGTCCCCCTTAACTAACTGTAGATACTTAAACAGTAATCACCCGCTGACCTTGAGCTTCCAGTAAACACTCAAAACAATTTATGAAAGTTGCTCTGTTATGCTGATAGAACTGAAAATGGTGCCTTTCTACCAGGTTTAGAGTTTTAACTTTCTCCAAAGTGTTTGCTTTCTCTCATTCACAATACTGTGAAAGCTCTTCAGCATTTTGCTTAAAAAGAAAAGCAGCGCAGTCAAGTAATTAATAAAATTACCTCATTTATAAAAATATTACGAGGAAATGAATGAGATCAAGCTAGGTTTGAGGTAATAACTACCTTTTCTCCCCTGTCCAACATGCACCAGTTACTGAGCCTCTCGGCGTTAACAGACATGCTTTCCACTTGATTTCATTTTATTCACTGTCCTGAGGTGGTCACACACCAAGAGTCCTACTCTATAGGAAAGGAGATTCAGGCTGGGAGGATGTAACTTGTCTACTGGACACAATCAGTATGTAGCAGAAGTGGGGTTCAAAGCAGGGTGTGTGCCTGACCCAAAGCCACCGCTAAAGATCAGCCTCTCTGACACAGTGAACAAGAAAAACGCGGCCTTTGAAAAGTGAATACTTCATGATGGGACAGTGTTAATTTAGCATTAACAAAATTATTTATAGGGTATAAATAGCCAAACTGACTCACAGTTATCTGAAAACTCACCCACAATACCCAGGAGCCACGGTGTGGCCTCGGGAGCAGTGGACTCTAATCAAAGTGACCTGCTGTTTCGGCCATGGTGCTACAGACTCTTCTCAACATCACAATGAGTCTAGGCTTTAGGTCAGCTGCTTCAAATCCCGAATATTTCTCTTTATCCCCCCAACACCAACCCCCTGAAAAGGGGAAGGAAAAAGCTGTAACACTGCAGCTGACATTCTGTAAAAACAGCAGATGGAGGGCACATCTAACTTAATTCCTGTGATGCTTCCAGAAAACACAGGTAAGTAGATATGATGAGAACTTCTTTGCTATCGTGGAGCTGTACGACACATGGGGAAAAAAGGACAGAAACATCTTCAGTTTTGTCTCTCGTTTCCAAGTCACTGCTCTATAATACTTCTCAACTCTAAGGCTAAGGCTGATCTCCGATCAGTTATCCACTCTACTTTCTTTACCAAATTCTGGGTCAAAAGAAGGTACAATGAAGCTGAAAAAACCAAAAGGCCAAAGAATTAAAAACTGCTCTTTAACACAATTACTAATGCGGTTCTTAAAAATACTACAGCATTGGTATTAACTGAATATCCTACATTCGACAGCCTCAATCGTATACAATATAATGAGAATCCATAAAAATAAACTGCCCTCTAAGCAGCAGAAGAGGCACAATATTTGTGCACTACAACTCACATCTAAATCAAGGAAGGATCCTTTCAGCACAATCTATGTACTTATTTTAGACAGTTCTAACAAGTTCCTTAATAACATCTCCTCTTTGTTTTCCACCTGTGTTAAACTCTTTTCCTGCATTTTTACACTGAATACTTTCAGTCCTATGAAGTAACCTTTAACTAATTTGTCCCAGGTCCTACACCTAAGAAAGGTTTCACCTGGATTCAAATTCCATTCTGTGACTTCACAATGGCTGTTCTTTATCACTATGGCCGGTAATTCTCAAGCTTTAGCACACAGGTGCCTTGGGATCAATTCGGAGTCTTGTTAAAATAGATTTCTGATTCACTAAATCTGGGGTAAGACTCCTAAATTTGCATTTCCAACAAGTTCCCCGCTGACGTTGATGCTGGTAGCCCTGGAACAATTTGGGAACCCAATGCACTGCCTTCTTCTAAGATTATTTGCTTTCCTAAGCCCTGCCACACCAGCAGCAAATTAGAAGTTTTTAGATTTAAAGGTTATTAGGACAGCAAAAAGTGGCATATAAATGTGAGACATAAGACAGATTTTTAAGGAGCAATTCCAAAGGGGGGAAAAAAAAGAGCAAAGTCCAGCTGTCACTGCAAAGAGACTAACCCATCTCGATGACTCAATCATGACTATGCAATAATTTATTTTGACAGTAACACTGAGTTTATGCTCGGTTTGGAAAATCATATAAGCATGTGATCCGTTTTTGTAAAGGTTTTTAAGGCCTGGACAGAAAAGGATTAAATACACTTAGTGTATTTCCTGTCCCGTATTAGGAGAAATACCACTACTTAGATTAGGATTAGGATTGTTTGCCACACACTTGTTCTGAGAAAGAGTTACTCTTCCAAGAGAAACTGAAACTACAAGCTGTCGCTGATGCAACGTCCCTTTAAACCACACCCCCCCCCCCCCCCCCCCCCCGCCCCGCGCCTGCCAGAGCCAACGCCATCCACCCAGGGCCTGGGCACGTCGTTCCCTGTGCGATCGGCCTCAAGCAAAGACGGGAGTGAAGATGAAGAGACCCCCGTTAGACTCGCTCCGGGAAACTCCCTCCCCGTTCTCGGACCTGTTGAGAGCTCCCACGGAGCGGAGGCTGCGCCTCCAACCCCGCCCCCACCTGGCCCCAGGGAAGCCCACGGCCTCCCGCAGCGCCGCCGCCGCCGCCGCCGCCGCCGCCGCCGCAGCCAGCGCCCGCGGCCCTGGTAACAGGCGAGAGACGCGGCGCACAACGGACGACGGCAGCGGCGCCGAACAGACGCGAAAACTCACGCTCTATACGGCCCGCCTGCGTCCCCACGTCTTCGCGACCACGTGCGTCATCACGCACGGGCGCCCGCTCCCGGACGCTCCAGGTCCCAGCGGCCTGAGGGGCGGGGAGAGAGCGTGGTTGATTTCGCGACGCAGCTCCCACGGCCCCCGTGGAGGGTGGGGAGGGCCGTAAAGCGCCGCGGGCGGGCAGCGGCGCATGCTCAGTTGTGCGCGACTGCGCTCTTTTTTTCCCCGCGGGCTGGCACCCAGGACCGCGTGCGGTGGCGGTGGCTTGGAGGAGGCTCGACGGGGAAAGGACCGCGGCCGAGCGCGGCGTGGAGGGCTTGTACTTTCTACTCGTCCTCCAAGCTCCGAGTGACACGTAAATAATAATATTCCTTCTGCCATAAGTAACTATTGGCTGCCCACCACGGTTAAAGCAAGCGAACGGCCTGGCCTACATTCGAGGGACCGGACTCGGGATAGAGATGCGGCGACTGGGCCGCGTGGCGACTGAGAAACTGCCCTACCGGGCCCCAGCCCTGCCGCAGGCTCAGGACCTGTTGCGTGGAGGAGTCACATACTACCTGTGAAGTGGATGGCGGAAGAGACAGAAATTTTCATGAGTTATCAGACGGCTGGAGAGCGGCCCATCACCCATCTCAGGGCGGAACCCGCGGTTACAAAGCAGGCCAGCAAAACAAGGTCGTGGGTGTACATTTCACAACCCAAAGTCTCAGTCTGAGGCTGCATTTCTATGTCTGTCTGTCCGTTTAAGGCTTTAGGTGTTAAGTATTTCTGTGAACGTATCATTTGATGCAATTTTAATTATGGGTCTGTTTCTGCTCTGAAACAGGTTTTATGTTGGGTTGTAGGAGTCAGGTTAAGTTAAATGCTGTATTTCATGCAATATGAGAAAACTATCTTATTTGGTACGGTATTTTCTAACAACTAGGGGGAAGATGCGTCTTTTCCAAGGACGAAACCAAGTGCAGGTGGTTTTATGCTGCTCTGTATTTATTGGAAGTTGTGGCAGCTGTGTTTAGATAGTCTACTTAAACAAAAACTGCCTAAATCAGAAGAGTTTTGACTATCTTTTGTTATTGTGTATTGCAAGAATTCTTCATGGAAATGTTTATTATGGAGTTTGGAATTTAAATGAAGATTTGGCTCACGTGCAGGGTATATAACAGACGTTCAAGTGATAAAGAAGAATCTTAGCAATTTGCAACTATGTTCCTTGAGCCTTACAAGTTATCCGTTTCTTCTGAAAACAATACGCTGATCAGAAAGTTTGGCTGACAATGAGAAACTGCATTTCTGGAAATAGAAATTCAACTGAAGGGTGGAGGTGAATTGCCAATAGAAGTATTTTGTGTATTTCCCTAGAAAAAATAAAAGTAATTTCTCAAAAAGAAGGGATTCCCTTTTATCCTGATTCATGATATTATGCATCAGTTTAATTAGTGCTAATCCTTATCTTCCATTCTCTAACACCATTTACACCTGTCTATAATTGCATCATTTTTCTTGTCCTTATATGAATATATTAAATACAGACGTGATTTTAAGGGCGCCACAAATCAAGAAGCCTCAATACAGTAATCTCATAAAAATGTCTTTATAGATGGGGATTAAGAGTATACTTAGGCAATTTTATTCAATTTCAGACATCAGTGAAAAATTTCATAGCCATTTAAGAGGAAAGAAAAAGTCTAGGTTTTAAAAAATGACCTTTTTTGTCCTATATGATTCATTGATCAGACAAGAATTTTTTTAAGCCTGTTGAAATCAACACGTATCATACTCAATCCCCATTTAAATTGACAAACAGATCACTTGGATAATAATTGTATATCTTAAACATTAACGTATGTGGCAATCAGCAAGATCCTTTTACTGAGGCAGGGCTTCAAAATACCAAAAAGATCAATGCCTGAAGAAGTCCTTTAACACAAAAGTTATGCAATTATTAAATTACCTTGTAAGATAATGATTCCTAAAAGCTCAAAAGTACTCTTGTATCTTTATTGTGAGAAAAAACAGGATTATGCACATGATGTATGATATTTGAGACCTGTGTAATTGTCTGGACAATTTTCTATTTTTATCAAAGTTTTGCAGGAGAGCAAAAATACCTGAGATTAAGCCATCTGATTTAAATGAGCATTCCTAAAATGTGATTCTTGAGTACAGAGGAGTTGTGGTAAAAAATCTTTGTACATTTCATAAATCTAGGATTGGAACTGGGAGAAAGGCAGGTGAGTATCATTCACAGCTTTCAAAACCTGGACTGAAGGTGGGAAAACATGAGTCAACAACACCATGAGCAAATAACACAACTGGATTATTATTTTAAAGAGGAGCTTGTTTGGTATCTAATTCCTTATAATGGAGCCAGTATTTATTATACCCAACACTGTACAGAAAGATGTATGAAACTCATCAAAGAATTTATGCTTTATTGTTACGAAAAAGCTTGCAAATTAATAAAAGGACAACTATAAAAGTAAGTACAAAGTTGCATTATGTATTATGATGATGAAAAGACTAACAGTACTTAACAGTGATAGACCATGCGAATGGCAAACATAAGAGATTTGCAGTGGCAATAATGATGTCAGACAAAACGGACTTTAAGACATATATTTCTAGAAACAGACATTTTGTAATAAAAAGGTCAATACGTCAAGAAGCTATACTAATTAGAAATGTACATGCACCCAAACAGTCCTAAATACATGAAGCAAAAATTGTTAGATGTGAATGTAGAAATAGACAATAATTTGATATTTTAATTTCACATTCTCAATAATGGGTAGAACAACTAGACAGAAAACTGCTAAGGCTATAGAAACCTTGAACAACACTATCGACCTAACAGATATGTATAGACCATTGTCCTTAGTGACAGCAGAATTTATATTCTTTTTAGGAAGTACGTTCTCCAGGATAGTGTATATGCTAGGCCATAAAACAAGCCTCAGTAAATTTAAGAGTACTGGCACCATGCAAATTATGTCCTCTGGTTACAATGGAATTACATTAGGAATAGATAATAGAAAGAAATTTGGGGAATCACCCAAATATTTGCAAATTAAATTACTCATGGTCTGAAGGAGAAGTAACAAAGGAAATCAGAGAATGTTTTGAACTGCATGAAAGTGAAAACACTGAAATTTATGGGTTGCAACTGAAAGAGTGATCTGAAGGGTATTTGCTGCTTTAAACACTTACATTAGAAAAGAAAAAGGGTTGTAATATTCTAGGCTTCCAGTTTTAAAAACTAGAAAGATAAGAGCAACTTAAACCTAAGCAAGCAAAAGGGAGGAAATAGCAGTCATACTGGAAACTAACAAAATAGATAAAAGGAAAAATAAAGTCAATGAAAATAAAAGTTGGTTCTTTGAAAAGGTCAGTAAAGTTGACGAGCCTTTATTAGGCTGACCAAAAAGGAAGACATAAATTACTAAAATCAGGAAAGCAGGATATCACTACCCACCCTACCAAAATTAAAAGGGGCTACGAATAACTTTATGCCAACAGATTAGGCAATGTAGATGAGTTGGACAAATTCCTAGAAAGAAATTGCCAAAACTGAACACAACAGAAAATCTGAAAAGAGTTTGTATTCATTTCCTAGGGCAACCACAACAAAGTACCACAAACTGAGTGGCTTAAAACAATAGAAATTTATATCTCACAGTTCTGGAGGCTAGAAGTACAAGATCAAGGTGTTGGCAGGACCTAGAGGATCCTTCCTTAACCTTTTCTAACTTCTGGTGGTTTGTCAGCTAATCCTCCTTTGGCTTGCAGCTGCATCAGCTCCAGTCTCTGCCTTTGTCATCATATGGTCTTCTCCCCCCAGGTGTCTGCCTCTTCTTCTTATTAGGTTGCCAGGCATAGAGGATTAAGAGCCCAGCCTAATCCAGTATGACCTCATCTTGACTAATTACATCTGCAATGACGCTATTTCTAAAGAACACAGTCTGAGGTCCTGGGGGTTAGGACTTCAACATATCTTTTTGGGTAATACTATTCAACCCATAATAGTCCTATAACAAGTAAAGAAATTAAGTTAATACTTTCAAATATTCCCACAAAGAAAAGCCCAGGCCCAGGTGGATTCACTGGTGAATTCAATCAAATATTTAAAGAAGAAATGATAAAATCATTCTCAAACTCTTTATAAAATAGAGAACACTTCTCAGCTCATTCTCTGAAGATATTAAATCAGATGACATTACAAGAAAAGAAAGCTAAAGATTAGTATCTTTCATGAACGTAAAAAAAAATTTCCAAAAAAGGGTGAGCAAACCAAATCTAGCAGTGCATAAGAGGGACTATATAACATGAATGCAAGGTTGGTTTAACATGGGGAAAAAAAAGTAAAACACCATATTAGTAGACTAGAGCAGCAGTCCCCAGCATTTTTGGCACCAGGTTTTGTGGAAGACAAATTTTTCCACAGATGGCATCGGGAGGCAGGGGGTCAGGATGGTTCAGGCGGTAACGCAAGCGATGGGGAAAGGCAGATGAAGCTTCACTCACCCGCTGCTCACCTCCTGCTGTGCGGCCCGGTTCCTGACAGGCCGTGGACTGGTACCAGCACGGGAGTTGGGGACCTCTGGGTTAAAG